TAGAATGTAGATTACAACTACTGTGACCTTATAACAGAGCACTTTTGTGTAATGTAGTAGTAGTATGTATTGCATTATGTTCCGATGTAATAAAATTTAATATTACCTAACTTGTGTTTATTTCTTTTGATGAGAAATTCTATAATAATAATCTGAGACAGTTGTTTCTACAGCCTCATTCTGGACCTTACATCAATCCAAAATTGAGGCAGTGATGAAGTACAGCTGTTACTTAGGGTGAGCATGGCTAAAGGAGAGAGACCTCTGGGAATCTCCTATTATTCTTAGGATAAAAAGTACAAAATCTGAGGTGACATCTAAAGAGACCTGAATGAGGACGACGTTGTGTTATTATTTAAGACTGTTTTATATGAATAACTTGAACACAGCAGGTTTTGTGTTGGGTTCTTTTTTTTTAGGATTCTATAGTAAAATGAGAGAGGTAAAAAGTCCTTTTCTCTCTCTTATCTCACTTTTAGTTTTAATTTGGCTTTGATAAATTGCATGAGATTTGAAACTTACTTTGGATGTATTCAAAATAAATAAAATCCAATTATTGATCTACTGAACAGAGTTGAGTTTATTGCATTCCTTCTACAGATGTTTCAAGTACTACATGGAGAAAAGCCACTCTATATCCAAGCAAATAACTGTGTAGAAGCGAGTGAGTGGATAGAAGCTCTCTGTCGAGTAACAAGATGCAACCAGAAGAGACTTAGTTTTTACCATCCTTCAGCTTTTTTGAATGGCAACTGGCTTTGCTGCAAGGCTACAGTAGAGAACACAGTGGGCTGTGCTCGTTGCACTGCGTAAGTTGCTTCTCAAATGAAAATGTGTATGTTTAGTAAGACTGATCGCAGATGACTCTCTGTACAACCTGAGAATCTGTAGGCAAGGCTTTCCATCTGCTTTAGCCAGTTACTAAGAACATGCACCTGAAGTACTAGATCTACTAAAATCTGTTTTATCCACCACCCTGTGTAATGTTACAGGTAGCCAATTCAGTTTGTAGTTCAGAAATACTGAATGGTTTATTCTTCTATGCAGAATAATGTATTTTATAGCTAATGAAACTTGTGTTGACAGTTGGGTTGCCTTGTGTGTTTGTACCGCATTGGTCATCTGTAGAAATTTTGGTTAGTAGTAGTTTTGAAAGTGTGAGGCATAGAGATCTGGACGAAACCATAACAGTTCAATTTTATGCCATGCATGGTATTTCTTGGCTGAAAAAGAGCTTGATACATGAAATGGTCTACTTGTTTGTTTATTAGCAGTTCCTTTTTCTCTTGCTGGCTGTGTTCTGAACTACTAGAGTGAACTAAATTGTATCATGTGGGTCTGTATTGTAACACTGGCTGTTCAAAGCACCTCTGAAACTGGCGTTTTTACCTGTTTGTCCTCTATGCTTGTAGTATGCACAGTTAATGCAGAGCTTGTTGGAGAGAAAACATCAGTGGTAGTTACCTACTTTGTGTTAAAACTTTGGCTGGTGATAATTCTTCCTTTGAGAGCTGTTACATCTAGTGCAAACAGAGATGGGATTAAGTTTGGTCAGACATTAAGTTGAATGCAGAAATAGCTCATTAAGTATATGGTACCTTTTTGTGTAATTTGATTCATTCATCTATTACATTTCTTAACAGCTTAAAAGATTCCCATTACTAAAAAACTTCTTGTTTCTGTCTTTCTGTTGTGGTTTAGAAATTACCTTGTTCTCTTGTTCTATTAATACTTGAAAGGTAAACAGATCTTAAAAGCTGTATTGAATTAGAAGTTAATAACAGTTAATCTTGGATATTTTAAAAATATTTTAGTCTTGATCTATTGAATAATAAATTCTGTTGAGAAGAAGGTTTTTTAGTACAGCTGTATCCACTGTCCTCAAAACGACTCCTGTTTCTGTAAGACTTACAATGAATGCTGAATTTTCTGTAGCAATTGTGAAGCTGTCAGAGTAATAGGCATATTAAAAAACCTAAATGTTTTCAGTTAAATGTAATGTAATTTAAATGTACTTTTAAAGTGTAATCAGTTTTGATTTGCTTTCAAACCTTTAGAGAATGACTTGGATTACTCATTTTCTGTTTTTTTTACTTTTTAGAGATGTTCCTGCTGATACTCAAATTGAGATTGATGGAGACAGAGAGACGGAAAGAATTTACTCACTTTTCACCATCAACATGTCTAAACTTCAGAAGCTGGAAGGTACTCAAGTAGTTTAATTCAGAAGAATTATACTGTATTTTTCAACTCTCATTCTTTAGGTCTCTAACATCTTCTTGATGTCTTAACTATTTACTTGAAAATAACAGATTGGAGACAGAATATACATAGGTAATGCCTCCTGTTTATTTCCATGAGAACTACATCAGATATAAAGAGTGTGATAACAATATTTGAGCAAATTCTCAACTACAAAACACTATTTTTCATTGTAGCCACTGCTGAAACTTACCACCCACCACCTTGCTGTACTGACATTCACTGTTTGATGTCCATAAATGTTCAGCATGTGCCACTGAATGTTCACAGTTGCAATTTTTTCTTCCTGGAGGAGAATTCAGTGGGGCACACCTTTGCTTAATACGCAGTTCCGTGTCAGATGCCATTTTGTCAGACTTCCCTTCTGCTGCCATGTGTCACATGGCAACAAAAAGTAATGGGATATTGATGGAAAGGTTCAACTTCTATTGCCATACCACCAACATCTGCCTCTGATGTCATGGGTCAATATAATAACATAGGAGGCATTATTTTCAGAGCAGTTCTCATATTTTTTGACTCTTTAGTACACTAGTAACAGATGTTGTTCAGACATTTCTTAGCAATAGACATCAGGTGTGCACATTGCTGTGCACATTATTCTAACTAAATTTGCATATAAAAATTCTTAAATAGTCTAAACAAAGAAAGCAAGTATAGTCATTTCCTTTTCTCTCCCTGATCTCATTTTCCTGGCTATGACATGAATTATATGCTACATAGCTGAGTTACAAGAAAGCATTGATTTTTTTTAATTTTTTTTTTGGTTAGGAAGGAGCTGAATAATCAGGATGCAGAACCAGTGGAGAACAAGCAATAAAACCACAAATACATTTAGTTGATACTGCTTTCTATCTCAGTCTGTTATATGCATAAGCTAGAGTAGTATCGCTTTTGAGAATTTCAGAATCCTCATTGACATGGTAAGAGTTAAATGTGTTTATTCATGACCAAAATCTAATTGGGATTTTGTGATTATTTTTGTAGAGGCTTGTGGAAGCATAGCTGTCTATCAGGGTCCACGGAAAGAACCAGATGACTATTCTAACTTCACAATTGAAGATTCTGTGGCAACTTTTCATACACTTAAACAGATAATAGATACAGTAGAAAAGCTGAATGAATCACATGAAAAATACCGAAAGAAGAGATCATCCAGTGCTGAATATGGTAGTGAGTAAGTATTTTAAAGAATTTTGACATACAAATATTTACTAACAAAAATATAAGAAGAAGAAAAAAGTTCAGGTAGCAATAACTCAACCAAAATTAGTTTTAGACAACCGGAAGACATGGAGGAAAATAAGGGATGTCATTTCCTTCATTTGTAATAGTGCAGCTCTTCACCAGTTGATAGATGATAACTCGTGCCAGAAGAATATTGTTTCATCTGTGTTTGTGTTGAGCCTCCCATAAACAATGAGTCTGTTTTTTCTTGCAATTTAAAGTTTGTGTGTGCTTCACGTGTTAACCTGAGCTGTCTGCTAACATTCCTTAAAATGTTCCTTAAAATATAAAGTTATCTTGTCAAATTTCAGTTAAGGAGTTCAATTGTTTGACTACCTTCTAGTGCTTTTTTTTTTTTAACTTCTTTTTATCAAGTGTCAGGTAAAATTAAATTATCAGGTTCTGTGTAAATAAAATTATACTGAAAACATACATTTATTACATACCTTGTTTTAAATTCCCTTGTCATGCTCAATGATAAATGCAAATTTTTTAAATTGAATTTTAAAAAATCTTTTTTAAGTTCATTATTGCTCCAGAGCTGATTCTTTTGATTCTCCTTGATCCGAGCTTTTGTCCACAGAGCGACACTGTTCAAATTTTGTGTTTTCTTTGTTGCATCAGTAATATTTAAATTTTCAGAAGAATGAATGCCACAACAATGTCATTCCCCTACTTTGCTATGGGGCTGAGGATGTTCCGAAAAATTGATGATTGATTTACAAGTTTCATATGCAAGTACATAAAGCTTTATGCAAATCACAAACATCCAGAAATTATGCAAAAAAAATATATAGTTTTTCTTAATGATTAAAAACTATATGAAAGAATTAAAAAGCAAATGTTAACCATTAAAAATATTTACATGTAATGTTTTCTCTTTTTCCAGAAAAAATCCAATTGGAAAGGTTTCCTAACTGAAACCAACTATGGCACACTTGGATAAAAAAGAAACTGGAAACATTCTCAAGTTTTCTGTTTTTCTATTTTGTTTCATTTTGTAGTTCATTATGTGCATTTTCACAAAGTATTTAAAAATGAAATAGATGCTAGTTGTGTTGACAATCTATTTAATATTTAATAGAAAGCTAGCTACTTGGAAATCTGGTCTTTTAAAGTTTATTCTCATTTTGCTGAAGAACTTGAAGTTCCAGGTTCTGACAGTAACAAATGTGAATAAATCTAAGAGTTGTTTGCTGTTTTAGGACAGAATTTTCTAAACAAATAAGCTTTTTAATGGAAGAAAATCAACATGACGTTTGTTGGTTGTATTGCATCTCTTAATGCATGTACTGCAAACTTGTATGAGTTTACCATGAGTGCCTGCCCTGCTGATAACAATCTTTAAATAGAAATCCCACGATACTCTGTCATAGAAAAGATCTGAAGTTGAGTGTGAAACTCATTTGACATTTTTTTTTCTTATATTAGGTGTTGTCAGAACTTGGTCTAACTACAGCAGTATGTTGCAAATAATCTGGACAGCAGACACCAGAGTTTAGGTTTTGTTGTTTTTTTTTTTTAAGTACTAAAGAAGAAGAAATCAGGGAACTTTTATTATGCCTCCTGTTTACATTTGGAGTGAGTAGTATATGGAGTGACATGAGACCACTATCAATTTCCTCTAGGGTACATTTTAAGGTACTTTTTTTTTTTTTCTTAATCTGAAAACAAATGCAGGGTAGCAGTGTTCTTCATAAATAAGTTTGCCTATGGATAAAACAAACAAACTCAAATGTGAACTGATTATGGTTAAGTACCAATCAATCTACATCATCCTGTTTATGGTTTTTTGATTAAAAAAAAAGAAATAATAGCTAGGTTCAGTTCATCATTTGACTACAAATCTAATAATTAATCTCTATTATAATCACTCAAAGCACTTTAGATATCTGGACTATCCCAGATTATTTTTAGATACTTTGTAGTATCTGCTTGTTACGATCAGTTCAATGATCAACATTGTTTTTCTTTAAACAATGCTTCAGTGAATATTTTTATATCTTTAGTTATATGAATTCTTATTTGCCAATTAACACAATTTTTAAACTGTCATTCTTGACTCTAGTAAGATTAATTTTTGCTCATTTCATCTGAGAAGTTAGGTTTCTGCTGAAAGAACTTATGTATATAACCAAGAAGAAGCAAAGATGGCAACTTTGCTTCATCAGTATTAAATATAATGGTACTCCTTGGAATACTATTTTTAACAATAACTATATGTGGTACTTTTTATTTTTGGAGCATTTGCTGTGGGATCTTCTGTTGTTTATTTGTTGGTGTGTTTTGTTTTACAATCATGATTTTGGCCAAATTACTTAGAAATGTGACATAGAAATAGAGTAGAAATCCACAATGCTTGAAAACTGTAAGCTGTTTCAATTACTATACATTTGTAACACTGTTGTAGGGAGGTTTTCTGTAATGAAGCACACTGGCAAGACAAGATTGAAAATGTTTTTTAATGAATGTAACTATTGTTAAAATAACTATTTGTTTTAAAACCATACAAACCATTCATAGAATGTCTGGGAATCAGTACTAGTACCTGCAAAGCCACAATCATGCAGTCGCCTCCACTGTTTTTGCCTTTACTTAAACAATTTTGATGTATTTTAAGGGACTTTCATTTGCCAACGGTTGAAACTGGAGTGGTGGGAATCACATTAATGCCAAGAAATGTGTTTTGCCAAGGTAAATTGGGTCTATATAATTGCCATTAAAAAGTTGCCATTAAACAATAATTAAGTGCTTTTATCTGTCAAAGTTAGTTTGTGCTATACGTTGATTACACTGTGGCAGAGCATGTCTTCCTTGGGGCCATTTTTTAAAGGTTTCATAATCCAAATTATGGAAAAACACTTGGAACTTTTTTTAAAAAAAGTTAATAAAGAAAATGCACTTTTTTCTTTGATGGTACTGGAAAAAGAACAAAGGCCATTGAATATTTGTGACCAGTAGGATTTAATTTCTCATTTTTATAATGTTTCAAAACACAGTAGATGTTCTAGAATTTAATTAGGTACAAGTAGGATGATTAATTATTAAAGTTGCCTTCATTTTGATTAGTCTAGAAAAATGATGTTATTCAGTAATTAGTTCTGTTTGGATTGTAAATTATCATTAGTTTCAATTTGTATTATGCTGATGTATTGTTGAATGTATTTTTATTTAAATTTTATTTTCTTATCAAACATTAAAATGTTTTGTAACATTGCTTGAGAATAACTCATAAATAAATTTCAACAAACTTGAGATATGCTGTGTGCTTACTGCAAGGCCTGGCTTTTGAAAATGTTGACTTGAAGACTGACTACATAAGAGTTTCCATACAGGAGTTGGTTATAACAAAATAAGTGTCTAGTACACAGAGGAAAAAGAAAAACAACTTTAATTTGAGGGATCTTTTGTGGTCATCTACATCATTGCTGCAGTCTAACTTAGGGTTATGGCTGGAGTGAGAAGTGCTACTTAATAGCATAGCAGTGTACATAAGAAGCTTCAGTAACATGACAGTTCTGAAATGTTTACAACACCTAGTCTGATGTATTAAAGGATATCTAATTCTGGTGTTAGACAATACATTTTCTTCATTTATTCATTACCCATCTAGTATTCCAGTGTTATATATACATCTGAACTATTTTAAATAGATAGCATATGGAGAAAAAATATTTTTTTTGTCACCTGCTGTTCTCCCTTTGTTTTAGGTGTTTTTAGAAGATAACTTTGTAGTTACGTGTTTTACTGCCTTGATGTTTTATTTCCTTGTATGGAGAGCTGACCTGTTGTCACTTATTGCTGATATGGAAGTTTGTATTAGGAGTTAGAGTACAGACTGTCAAGACACTTTGGAATAAATTTTTATTAATTCTAAGGTAAGCTGTATTAAAGGCCAATCTTAACATCACTGCAATCATTTGCAAAGATTCAGAAAGTAGAGGAAATTCAAGATGAAGGAAATGTAGAAAGAATTTTTTCCATGAGCACTCCAAACAAATTTGTAAAGATTCTGTGGCAATTTTAGCAGTATTCTGTTCTATTCCCAGCTAATGTGAGCATGATGTGACATTAATTTATGCTTATTTGTACATAATTTAAAGTACTAAGTTCTTTTGCATTTACTTATGATGATGGACTCATTCAACTTTTCTTTTATTCCGTATGAGTGCTTTTTTTTTAAAGATCAGACCAGCAAGCAAAAGCTCCCAGAAGCAAACAAGCATAACTTGTAGCAGAATGGGAGAATGCATACAATTTAACTAAGGAACTCATGAGCAGATGCAAAAAGATATTTAAGGTTTGTATGATTTATGCAGATTAGCATGTTCAGTCTTGATGAGATTACTGCCAGAATGCTTTGTCAGTTACTGAATTCTGTCATAAAATTTACAGTGAGAAAAGATTTTGATGTACCTGCATCACGGTATCTGGAACTTGATAATCTACAGCTCTACAATATCAGAATAAGGTTTAATGTGCAGTTACCTTTTTTGTTTTGTTTTATATTGAGGAAATATGCAAAGTCTGTTTCTCTTCTGACATTGAAATTTTTACACAACCACGTTAAACTGCTTTTTTGATTATTCTTTACATTGATTTATGTAGACATTTCTAATCTTGCTGGATATGATGTTCCATTCAGTTGCAATGACCGAGCTTTTACTGATTTGAGGTCATAATTATTTTAGCTTATTTAGTATTGCAAATGCTGTGGCAGTTGTGTGTTTATAGTGTAGTTAAGTTTCACCAAAAGGAAGCCAGGAATTTTTATAAAGACATTTTAGAAACATTATATGCCTTTTAGAGCAAATTAGCTTGCTCTAAAGGTCTGTGACTTTTCTCTCTCATCCTTTATTTCTGGTTATTCTTCTTAAGTGGAATAAAGAGACAATCATAGAACAGCTCAATTTACTGTGACTTGAAGTCAGAATTTAAAGATAAAAATTTCTTACCCGGTCCTGCTGAGATAGCACTGTAGAAGAACTTGGTTTCTCAAAAAGTGCAAGATATCCCCTCTTTTAGTCCACACTGGCGTTTGAGTGGAAAAAATGCACTGTGTCAGGGAGCAAAGAGTGATAAAAAGCAAAAGGCTTCAGAGCCAGCCGGATTGTTGATGGAATGTTTTCCTCCTAGATGAGCGTGAGGAGACTGTACCTACAGAAGGGTTACCTCAGGAGCCAGCTAGCACCATGGGGGTGGAAGCTCCACGTGGTTAACAGTCTGCAGCTACGTCTCTTGCAGACCCTTTGATGTTGCTGCTGGGTGACAGAGAAACAAGCCTTCATCAGATGACAAGTCTGCAGACTGTAGAACTAGTAAAAGGGAAAGTCCCCTACAAAAATCAAGGTATCTACAATTGTACTCAGATCTGATGTTTATGATACAGTTTTATCCTTAGACCTATGAAGTACTTTACAAGGGGAAGGGTAGGTAGGTACAGTTCAGCCTCTTCTTTCCATGTAGGTGGCAGTAAGGTTCTATACGTTGTTTAGAAATGCAATTAAAGAGTGTCTCTTCATAACTTTACAAGAAGATAACCTGCTTTTCAGTTCAGAATATAGTTCCATTCTCAAACAGCTAACCTCAGTTAAAATAAGTATAATCTTGTCTTCACAGTTAATTTGTTAAAAAGTTAATAAGTGAAATATGAGATGAGCTTTGAGTTTGAAAGTTCACACTACATGGAGGGAATAGCAATAACTGAGCTTTACTACAGAATAAAATAATTAGCAAACAAGATTTTAGTGTAGTATTTGTTGGAATTTGAGTCATCTGGGACCTTAGTGTTGTTGGCCTTGAGACTCAGATTCAGCAGTTGTGGATGAGCTTGAGTGTTGTATGAAGAATGGAGACGTCTCAAGGATTTAGACCTAATGGAGCAGTTCACTGAAGCCAGGAGCTGTTCAGTCTAGGTTTCCAGAGAGGTTCCCACACAAAGTCATTAACTACTTCTGTAAAAACTTCTTAAGGATCTCCCTTCTGAATACTAGGTATTGATCCATTTCACTGAATATGTGAAGCACTAAATTTGAATTTCTGGTACTTGTTAATCTTTGAACTCTTACCCACACTTGTGTAAAATTCATGCTTAATCACATCTGAACATTGCAATATAGCTAGAATGGCTGGAATGTGCTACTTTTTTAAACTCAGTTTGCTACTCTTGGTAGCAGTATTTCTGTGACTACTTCAGTCTCCTGCCCAGTGAGACCTTCCCACTGTGAAAGTGGTATTCAATCTATTTCACTAATGCAGTATGTTTCCCAAATTCCTGTTTTTATTTATTTTTTATATCTGGATGTGCTTCAGACTTTTGTCACATAAACTACACATTATCTTTCAAGTATGTCCCATTTTGGCAGTTTCTTCAGGCAGCTTCAGTAAAAGGTTAAGGTGGTTTTGTCACAGGTGTACTTAGCGAGGTCTTGTCTATAACTACAGTAGAATAATTAATACTGGCATTAATGGCACTGCTGAGCATGTTCATATTGATAGAAGGCCACAGACACAGATGATCTAGAGCTTAAGGAACAATTTTGGCAGAGAGCTATGCTTGAATTCTTTTCTTTGGCAGATAAATTAATTTGACACAGTGCTTAAGACTTCTGATATACATTATTCTATTGACAGAGCAAACAGCAAGTGTACTAATACAGTTCAGCCTGCGAATTATTTGGCCAAGATACACAAATACTTACATAACTGTCCGTTGCATTATCATAAAACTGACATTTCCATAACAATTTTGTTATTAGTAAAAATAACCTCAGATTCTATGTTTCAGAGTAAGCAAGCTGCAGGGGGAAAAAAAACTTCAAAAATGTTGTATGAGGAAAGAAGAAAGGAAAAATAACACAAGTCAGGTCATTTTCAAATGCTTCCGTTCTCAAAAGTCATGGAATCTATGAAAGACATAATTGTACTTTCTTCCAAAACAGTCTGTGCAATAATTACAGTTTTATTAAAAGGTGCATAGGAAATGAAGATGATCTTATGAGGGGAAGGTAAGTATATTCAGTTGAAATGGGATTAGGACAATAAGAAGAAATCTGTGCAAGTTTTCTGTTTTGAAATTGGGTGTCAAACACTTGGAGCTTTCAGAGAGTGTTCTTTGACTTGGAGACAATCAGAACTTAGAATAAATGCTTGATGAATGATGCCATATCTTACTGTAAAATTCTTGCAGAAATATCGTTGATTATAAACTGCATAATATAAAGAAGTCCAAATTTTTATACCTGCTATTATGTATTCATAGTTCCAAAACAAGCAGGTTTTTCACCATTTTATAGCTCACAATTGCGTGTGCAGATAGAATTGTATCTGAACAATCGTTCAATGAGCGATGAGTTCAAATTCCTCTATTAAATAAGCAATTTAGAACATTTTCAGCAAAGTCTGAATGATGTGAACCAATGCAGTCATCCCCTACCCTATGTGAAATAATTACGTTTTATTTGTGGATTAAAATGTTGCCATTTTCCTAAGCACTACCTTCATAATGTTGTGTAATTATATGGAACAGATGAATTTCAGAGGGTCAGGACAGAACTTATTCAAAACTTCTTGGAAACTTGATTCTATGAACTATTCAGATGTTAAAATAACCAAGAAATTATTTACTGGATAGGAAACTTCTTGTCTTTCTATGAAGCAAAATATACACAGGTACTTATATCATAATTGCTCTACAACTTGCACTGCCCAGAACAAGTGCATGTTCTTTATTTCTACAGTTGACAAGGTAGAACAAGGCAGGTACAAGATGAGAATTAACCTCCTTTCCACTTTGAAAAACTACTTTTTCAAAACATTTTTCATCCTGATATTGAAAGCAGTGTCACCTTGGCAATTTCGCTTGTACAAAAGGACATCTCAGTCTTTCAGAGCCTTTGAGTATAAACTCTGAGCTTTTTTTTCAGTTCTACTCTTATGCTCAGCAGCCAAGCTTGTTATGAGTGATGGCCTCTTGTATCAAGAAGAAAGGCAGAGAGACCAGAGGGAGGGAAAAACCACTTGTAGCATCATAAAATGAGAAAGCGCAGGGAATGGTTGCAGGTTAATACCATCATTGCCACATTGTTTAAATCAGTGTTTTGTTTTTACATGTGCCAAATATATCACCAACGTGCTACATTTTGATGGCACCCAAATGTAATTACATTGTGCTTCATAGTTAGCTCATACGAATTCTTCCAAACTAAAGAGAACTACAACCAGTTTCCTTGCCATTCCTGTCAAGAAAAATTAGAGATGGCCAGACAGATTGTGTTAAATTAGAAGGAGGGAGAGACTACGTCAGGTTAATTATTTTCCTTTTTGTTTTAAATTACTTTCAGAGACAGTTAATATTTCACATAGGAGAAATAAAATCTGCTTTGGTTTCAGACATTTTTAATCTTGGAAGATATATTTAACATATAAATATCTGTGCAAAAAGGTATAAAAATGCAGTGTATTATCAAAGTAGAATTATGCAAATAAGAGAAGAAAATGTATACAAAATCACTTTGAACTTTCTGAATTACACCTATTCTCACTAATTTATGTTCAGAAGTGCCATAATTCTTTTATCCATCTATATATATACCTGATGAGATACAAATATTTGAATTAAGGTTAACAAGTTTGACTAGGAAGTAGTTACTTTAAGATCTTTTGTTTCCTCTGTTGATCTGCTTTTTCATGGTGTTATCAGTTAAGAGATGCATCCATCTTGTCTCAAGAGCTGATAGGCATAGGAAGAGATTTTTAAGATGAATATGACTGAAGTAATCAGAATTTTTATGCCTTTACTACCCAAAGCCAGATCTTTGTAAACAAGAAGCACTGCGTGCAAGTCTGCTGAAGTGTACAGCTCCATCTGTTAGCAGTCTTGGCAAACAGGTCACGAGTTGGAATTCCAGAAGGATTTGGTGGTCATCTCCCTTTTGTGAAGGCAGTCCAGTCCATTCAGGTGATGTTTGGGTTATCCAAAATTGCTTTATCTATTGAATTTTAATGTTTAATGTGAAAAAATTACTTTTGTTGCCAGGCAAGAGTTGAATAATGGACATAAATTATTTGTTACAGGGAAAACTACATTTCTTGATGAAATATCCTGAATTGTGAAAGGGAGTTAAGAAACAGATATTTTCAAGAAGGGGGAGAGATTCTAATTTTCTTAGTCCATATTCTTACATACATCGCTTTCTATACATCATTATTCTTGTGCCTGTATAATTAGATATAACTCAGCTGTGACAATCAACAGCAGTTCTTGAAGGAAAGCTGGCTTGGCCAAACAGTGCTTTGAAGCCTCACTCAAATTCGGCATTTCTGCTGTGCATAGATTTTATTTTTTTTTAATTTAAAATGCCCATAAGGAACATTTCTCCATGAAGCAGTAACCCAGGCTGTTTTTTAAAGCTCAGCACCACAATGTGATGTAGGTACCGAAATGGACCCCCGGGCTGTCCCTGGTTACTGCAGCAGCGTTGGCCTCGATGGCCTTCAAGGGTCCCTTCCGCCTCTAAGGAATCTATTCCACGATTTGGCTTTCAGGCACCGGACGTTTGCGGTCTCTCCCGTAAGCCACTCGCGGTATTGTCCGGGAGGCACGGTCCCAGCGTGCGCGCTGGGGGTACTGAGGAAGGAGCACCGCTTCCTGAGGCGGTAGCAGAGGCGCGGCGCAGCCCCGGGGACGGCCGTTCCGGGCGTGGGCGCCAGCCGCGGGCCCTTCCCGCCCGGCGCTCCGGCGGCCGCCAGGTGGCGCTGCAGCCCCGCCGCCACGCGCCGCGGCCGCGTCCCCGCCCCTCCGCCATGGCCGACGTGGAGGACGGGGACGAGCCGGGCGCCCCCCACTCGCACCCGGGCTCCTCGGCCTCCAAGGCGGGAGGCCCCGACAAGATGTTCTCACTGAAGAAGTGGAACGCGGTGGCCATGTGGAGCTGGGACGTGGAGTGCGACACCTGCGCCATCTGCCGGGTGCAGGTCATGGGTAAGCGCAGCCGGCAGGGCCCGGCCCGCCGCGGCCGCCGTCCCTGCGTTTGTGGGGCGGCCGCCCCACCGCCGGCGCTGCCCCGCGGCCGCCCTCCGTCGAGGGACGCGGCTTCCCGCCCGCAGGGGCCGTGCCCCCCGCCTCCCCCCCCTTCGCCCTTCCGCGCCCGCCCCGGCGGCGGGGGCCGTTCCCGCTTCCCGAGGCGCCCCTGGCGCTGAGGGCCCCGGCCGAGCCGCGGTCGCGGTGCGCGCTCACCTCGACGGGGCCTCAGCCGCCCGGCCGCGCCTGCGTGTGCCGGCACCGCGGCCCGCCCTGCGCCGTGCGGGCTGCGTGTGGGTGGCGGGGCTGCGGTGCTGCCGCCTGCGCTCGTTTTGAAGCGGTGCTGCGGGCGAATAGAAAGAGTAGCTTCTGCTTACCTTAACGCGACGTCTTTTCCCAAGCGCTCTGATTTCCGCTGTGGTTCGGCCCGTGAATACGCTGGAAGGCTTATTAGAAAAATGGGGGCTTAGCTCACCCGATTTGAAATCGGTTTTGAAAAGCAGCCGGGTCAGTGAGCGGCATTAGCATTTTCTGACGTGTGTGTGTCTGAGAATCCTTTACGCTCCTCTGTTACACGCGCATCCGCCCTTTAGCCGTGATGCTGCTCTGAGCACACTGAGATCAGCCTTCTGTGTTCGCAGTGAGCAGAGACTGCTGTGGAAATAGGAAGTGAGCTCGGTCTTCTGTGAGTAAGCAGTAATTTTAAGAACACGTTTCTCTTCTGAGGCAGTTAAAAACAAAAAACAAGTCCAACTGTTACCCACACATTTGATTAAAAAAAAAAATCATTTACATTTCTTTGTTACTATGCCATGGGGCTGCTTTTCATCTGAAAGTAAGAGAAACTTCTGGTGACCATTTCTGGAAGCAAATTATTTGCCAGAACGTGAAACTTGATCGTTACTGACCAGGGTTCAGCAGCTCAGCACTGACCCTGCCAGGCCCAGCCAGGCTCCTGCAGAGCCGCTGCAGCACAGCCTCCTTTGGCTGCAGGCAGTGCCAGGCCTATGCTGGCTCTGCATGTTTGAAGTCAGTGTGTTTGATTGTGGAAGGGAGGGAACCATTAGCCAGCATCATTTGCTGCAGGTTTAACTCCTTGAACCGATGTGAGTGAACTGAATTTTGTTAAGCTGGCACCCTTAGAACTGCAGTACAGGACTGGGGACAGCTTATGTTGATGCTGTGTTTTGTGTCCTGTCTCTCTGAAAGTGCAGAGCTAGGGCTGGGATAGGAAAGCTGCCTTCTGAGTGGCTGCCAGTCCCCCCAGCTGACTGCCCAGCATATTGGGTGACTCCAGATCAGATTGCTTTCACATACCATGGAGTAGTGTCTGAATATTTCCTGCGTGGCCCCTAGTCCTGTGGAAGTTAAAACTGCAGGAACAGACATCAGGAAGCTTTGTTTGCCACTTTACTTTCATCTAAGTGAGGAAAGGGCAGCTGCTTCACAATTTCTGTGCTCTTTGTTCTGCGTTAGCTGAGAAAATGAGGACAGAGCAGGTGTATCTAAAATAGAACTACTTGGAATATCTGGCAGAAATATTCAAATTGGAATTCCTGTAGCATGCTATATTTTTGTCTTCTAGGGAAATATGATCCAGCTGGTGACCTGCAGGTCAAGTCCAACCTGCGGGGCACTTGTTAACTGTTACCTTCCCTTTGGAGGAAACCAAGAGGGGTTTCCACTGTGTATGTTGCCATAGTAACTGAATGCTTTCTGTTGTGCATAGTATGTGCTTGCGTGTCTGAGGCAGTTTGTGTCTTGGTGCAGAGGAGAAACAAAGCTATTCTTCTGCTCTATATGTGTGGCACACTACTATGCCTAGAAGCTATAACTTCTCTTTCTCTGTGATTGCTATATCTGTCATCCAACTGTGTAGCTATGGACTGGAACTGATGAAGTACTTAAATATTTTTAATTGGATATTTTTCCATGATTATCTCTTGAGTTATATTATTGAATTGACCAGTGCTTAAAGACATGTTTGTGTGTGACTCCCAAAACTACGTGCAGATTCCCATTAAGTAGAAGTACTGTATAAAAGAATGGCAGCAGGAAGTGGGGGTTGTGAAGAGAGATGTAGAGGCCAAAGAAATGAAAATTGTGAATGATTTCCTTAAAAGGAGCTGCTGACATCTGAAAAACAAAGTCCTGTAATTAGGGTTTGGCTGTGTGCTCGCTCTGCTCTTAATGTGCCTGAGTGCCTTGGCACAGGCCTGCTGGTGGTTGTATCTGCAAAATGGAGAAGGCTTTTTTTCAGCAGAAGTTGAGAAAATATGAGCAATAGAACTTGTTGGGCAGTTTAGAGTCCCTCTGATCTCTTTCAGATAGACGTGTCATCGTCTCATTCATTGTTTGAAATTTGGGGGGAGTTGTTATTTAATGTTCAAAGGCTGAAGTGGACAACAAAATGAGAGATTTTTACCTTTTGAAATTGGTTTTAAAGTTAAATTTTTTCTTCTGTCAAGCATATTCTTAAGATGGAATCTTGAGCATCAGATTGAGTCTTGTTCTTGTTTACTTTTAGATGCCTGCCTTAGATGTCAAGCTGAAAACAAACAAGAAGATTGTGTTGGTATGTAGTGATTTCATTCGCTTGCTTTTAAGTTGAAGCTTCTCTCCGTGGGGTGCATTTCCACGTTTGAAGGGAATACTGAGTTTATTAATGCTCAGAATCAAACTGCTGTTTTGTTGTACAGTGTGTCATCTCTTTACGTTAGTAATACTTTACAGTTGACTTTTTGAGCACCACTAAATTAGTGTTAGTGCCAGGCATGCTGTGTGGAGCAGGACGCTGTCACGTTTGCAGTGTCAACATACACATAGCTGTGAGGTTTGGGTTCTCATCCTGGCTGTAACGGAGTAGAGGATAACGCACTTTGAAGTGGGCGAAGGAATGGCTCCTTTTTCCTTCTGGGATGTGAGCCAGAGGGCGCGATGGTAATATCCAGAGAATTCTGTTCTCAAATAAATTCCTGACTGTGTTAAAAGTGATATTTTTCCCAGTGTTGATTCAGACACAGTTGATTCAGACACTGTTGCTTGATTTTTTTCAGTTTTCATTTGAAAAAACGTAATCACTTGAGTTTGCTATAATGCTGTTTAATCATGAACATACTTTACACTGCTTGCCAACATCTGCAAAAACAAATTGTATCTCAATTCCAATATATTTAAATCGGAAACAGTGAAAATTGTCTCACATTGTTTGCTTTAAATCTTTAAGTCAACTCTTAAGCTGGTGGTAAAGCCTTCCACGCCCTTGTTCTTTCTGCTTTGAAGTGTATTGTCTCAAAGTTAATTCACTGTTGTTTCTGATGATTGTTTTAACCAGAACAGGAATTTCCTGTTTCAGATGCCTTGCTAAGTGGCTTCCTAAGTGTCCTGTTTAAAATAGGGGAAAACAACATATAAATTACAGCTCTCCTTTGGTTGGTACTCTTATATTTCATTAAGGAAAATGTGAGCTAATAAAGGAAAAAACAGAGCAACTAATATTTATGAGTACATGGGCAGTATGTAACCATTTTGTAGCACTGAAGATATTGTAGCCCATGAATAACTTCTGATTTATTTTGCCAGTGTAGCTGTTTTGAGGCTATATGCAGTGTCAAATGCTCTTCCTTGATTTCACACAGTTTAGATGCAGCATTTTGGGTGAGAATTTGGTAGCATTCTCTTGTATGATAGTAAGATAGTGTCAGTGGTGCATTGGTGATGTTTTCGAATGTGACAGTCAAAATGAAGTGCTTACCCAGGGGTGAATTGCTACTCAGATCTGTTCCAGACACTTTATGCAGGAAGGTGAGAATACACATGTGAGAGGGTGTGTGACGGAGAACTGAGAAGTATTGTCAGAATGACTGCAATCATCCAGACTCCGTGATGACACATTTTGTCTTTTTAAAGGTTTTATAAGTTTGCAGTGGTCTCAAACATCTGAGAAGAACAGCTTGGACCTTGCTGTGAGTGTTGATCTCTGGACATCTGAGCATGACTAGAACGTGTTCTTTCTTCTCTTTCAGTGGTTTGGGGAGAATGCAATCATTCCTTCCACAATTGCTGCATGTCGTTGTGGGTGAAACAGAATAATCGTTGTCCCCTCTGCCAGCAGGACTGGGTAGTCCAGAGAATAGGCAAATGAAAACACCGGAAGTTTTCTGTTGGACTTGTTGGAGTTGTGTATATCTTATGCCATACACTCATACAGAAGAGTGGAACATCCCAATCATGGCGTGATGTACTGAGTTTATCTGCTACAGGGAACAGTGTGGTTTTGCTGTGTGCTCTTTGCTGTACTGGGAGGCAGTGGTGAGACTTACTGCAGGTATTTCTGCAACTGAAGAGAGAGAGGCACTGCATTACTAAATGTGTCTGTTAAGATTTGAGTGTTAACTATATCAAGAGCATAGAAATGTGGTGGTGCAGATTATATGCCAAATAAATTCATGTAATGTTTCTACTTAGAGCAATGCATTAACTTGAAAAGGAGACCTTTCTATTAAATCTGATGTGCTGTATAACTTAGTGTCTGATAAATTATTTTGGTTTTGGATAAATACGTTGTTTTCCAAATAATACTGTATACAAAAACACTTCTAAGTGTTTTAGCAAGTATTTTGTTTTTTAATCTAAAACTAATAGCGTGTGGACAACACTAGCATTCTCACGTAGGCTTTCTTTATGGCTTAAGAAAATTAGTTGCATCTCTGAAGTCTGTTGCTGTTTAAGATTCTACACGTTTTCTGCAGTCGTACTTACTAAAATTTAACCACATCTGTGATTTAAATTTATGTTTCTTTTAAAGTTCATGGACACAAGTACTTTTAATCCAGAAATTTTTGGCACGAAGGCACACAATGGATGTCAATTTAGTCATGGTGTTAACCGTGTTGCTGGTTAGCTGTCTAATATGGAAAACAAAAACAACCATTTTAATGTCCCGAGGAAAGCAGGTACCAATTAAATCTAGGAAGATAATGTTAAATTGTGCTTTCATCAGAATTCATTTACAGAAATTTCTTCATTGTTATTTTATTGGATTACATGTTTGGTTTGGGATGTAAGAGGAAGTATTGTTTCACTGCTGTGGAAATCCTCAATATCTCATTATTTTTAATAGGATCAGACCTGTGATTTTTCCTGTGCGTATTTTAGTGCTTTACCATTAATATCTGAAGTAATTACTATTAATCTGAACATATGTTTTGTTGGTTTTTTAAATATATGTATGTAACAGAGGGATTGAATAACTGTTTCTAAGTCTGTAACGAATTCAGACTTAATAAAATGGTCAATAAACTGGTGGAATTGAAGTGATATTATATGCATATTCTTTTTTACTTAAATTGAGATTAATTAATAACATTTAAGATTAATTCATTTCTCAGCAGGTGTATTTCTGTTTAGTTCTGCTTAAGTATATTTAAAGAGAATGATCTCCATTGTATAAAGTAGTTCAAATGGCAGTCTTTGATTTTTATCCTCACACTTCCATGCAGAGTTTATTGGGATTTTGTTTAATGGTTGTAATCTTGTTTTTAAAATGTTCTGTATGTTTTAAATACGGCTTTTGTGTTACTGTCAGTGTATCACACTCATTAACATCTCAGGAGATGTCTTTCTTAACATTTAAATAACAGTAGTAATGAAGTGCGTACGGCATTTGGGCTGTTGTGGAGTATTTTGTCTTCATCTTTCCTATTTCTGTAAAGACATTCTTTCTAAAATAATATCTTCTTACATACGGAAATAATTTACTACTTATTTTTCTCTGCCAGAATTTGGTCACAGGTTCCATCCCCTAAAATACCTTTACTTTTATCTAATCCCCCCAGAGAACTTCCCTTCATTTTACTTGGATTTATGGGGCCGTATGGACAACAGCAGAGTAATTTTCACCCTGCTTTCTGTTCACGTGTCACATACGTGTCACTAATAGCTGAGAATCATAATTGCAGAAGAATCTCCTTAATGCTGTTCTCTTCTGTTTAATAAATGCTGGGTAGATCTGGACAATTTCAGCAAATCTAGCTGGAGTTTTCTCAGAAGTGACTGGAATAACAAATATATGTGCGAAGATGATATTGTTTCATTTAGTATATTTTTTAAGTGACTGTTTTACAGAAACATTGTACGTTACTGTGTACGTTTATAGAAATCAAGAAAGATTCTAATTAATAGAGCAGGATTCTTTTTGAAGCTGTAAATGTGCCTTTCTTGTGCAGATAGCATAAACATTGTGTGTTTTCTTGATTTGCTTTGATGTGATCAATTGCTGGTGTAGGCTGAAGTTCAGTCCAGTTACCAGCCAGTCATACAACTTGTCTGTGTTTGGGCAATGGTGGCTTTTTGCTAAAGACTGCTGAAGTTTAGTACCTGAAATTAAAGGGTTTTTTTCTTTCTACCTCCTTTCTTTTTGGTTCTGAGGCTATTACAAACATGTTGCTGTGAACACCTTTTTCAGAAAATCACTCACTGAATTTGATGTTATTTCCTCTAATTTTTTTCAGTCTTCTTGCTCTGCTAGTTGCATTATTCAGCCCTTTATGTAACCTGCTCCTGCCCCATGCATGCATTTAAGTGGCAGAATTAGACATGCTAAGCAAGCAAGGGTGCCAAATACTCTGCTGTGGAGTACACAGCTTTCTCACACATGTCGTTTGCAACGGACGATTCTTTCAATCACAGATAGAAAAGCACTCACTTCTGTAATATCATTTTGTAGAGAATAAACATGAGTTACATGTCAGATGGATTCAACACAGAACGGATTAAGTAGGTAAAAGCAACTTTATACTTGTAATAGTAGAGTGACTGAAAGCAGCCAAGAAGGGCTTACCAGTTTTTGTAAGGATTTGGAGAAGTGCTTGTTGTTACTTGATGTTAAGCATCTGGGATTCAACCCTTCAACTTTCTCCAATTACAAAAGTGGAAAGAAAAAAGAAGAAAAGGAAACTCTCTTTGAGTAGTTTCTCCCCAGTTCTACTGGAAAAATCATGGAACTGCTTCACCTGTTCCTGTAATACTTATGTCTAAAAGCTGTTTTCAGAGGCCAAATCACAAGACTCCACAGCAGAAGAGGGCCTAAGAGATGCCATACAGGAATCTTTTCTTTCGGATAAAGATGGGCACAGACTTCCTGGTGGGTAGCCCAGTGAGTGTAGTCCAGTGGATTTTGGCTTCACTTGGTTATAATGAGCTTTGTGCTTTTGTTGATGCTCCTCAGCCATGCACTACTGCCACCTTGTCTCCTTGTCATCCTGCCACTTGTCATCATAAGACAAGCTCAGCAGGAAAGTAAAGAGAGGCCACAGTATCATATGGAATATCTTGGCAAGATTTGGCCAGTTATTTGAAGTGTGTTTTTTCTTTTTCTGTGGATAGGAAATGAGCTCACAACTCCATGCTGCTTCATATGTAGGGATCATTATTTTTAGATCAGCAGCAGATCTGAGCCTCTGCATGTAATCCGCTTTCTGTTCCTTCAGATGGAGTGGCATGAGGCATCAGGGTCTGCAGGAATATCTATGGAGCTCAGAGTTGTTGCTGTCGAGTGTAACTTGAATATGGAAGAGAGGCAGCTCAAATCTCTGAATGGTATGCAAATTAGAAACTCAGAGACTGATAGCATTCAGTATGTCAAGAGCAAGGGTGGCAAGAGGCTTCTCTTAACTGTGGCTGGTGTGCCGCTGGGTTTGGACTGTGCTGTTTGTGTTACAAATGGCAATCGTTGCATGTTCTCAGCAGCCAGCATCTGCCTACAGAGGGTATTGTGGTACATCTAAAGTTATCAGGGTCCATTCTGAGAAACAGCAGCTGAATCTTTTTGGTGCTGCCAGTGAGAAGGTTTGTGTAGGGTGTCATCCTTCAGCTATAGATAGCAAACTCAAGCTCCTTACAGAGAAACCTCTTACCAGTCACTTTCCACAAATGGTGCGTGTACCTAAAGGTACTTAGTGAAAATCCTTGAGAGGTATTTAATGCAAAAGCAGTTAGTCTCTCTGGTGCATTTGAGAAACGTGCACACGCCACTAGCAGGAAGGAGTGCAGGGCAGCCGCAGCTCAGCTCTTGGGCCAGTTACTGATTTTTATCTAGCCAGGCTCTGCCACCCCAAGAGCTTGCCAAGATGTGTGACATGGGGGGGCTCGACAACCTGATTGCCAACACAGCCTATCTGCAGGCCAGGAAGAGTGGAGAAGGAGACACCAAGGAGATGCAGAAGAGACGTAAGAGCCTCTCACTGCCTAAGATTGATCAGTGTGGAGAGGTGAGGCAGTCCATTGCTGCTGACTACGAGAGCATCTGTGAACAGCAGCCCATTGGCAAGAGATTCTTCAGAGATTTCTTAGAGACAGTTCCAGAAAATTTGGTAGCTAGGGATTTCTTGGATGAGGTGTCAAACTGGGAGTTGGCAGAGGACAACATCAAGAGCAGTACCCTGGAGAATATTATCACCAACTTTCTTAAGACAGGCTCCAAAAATTATTTGTCTTTCATGAGCTCTGACTTGGTCAGCAAATGCCAGGCAGCCACTGAGAAAGACTATGAGAATGTTATACAGCTGGCTAGAGATGAAACCAAACTCTTCCTTCAAGGCAAGCCCTTCCAGGACTTCCAGACCAGCCCCTTCTATGACAAATTCCTCCAATGGAAAGTTTTTGAGAAGCAGCCTGTAACTGATAAATACTTCTATGAGTTCCGAGTGTTGGGCAAAGGTGGCTTCGGAGAGGTAAGAGCTGTACCTTTACAAAAATGAGTCACCTCTCCCCTTCTGAGATCAGCAGATGGGTTTGAAAGATGAACTTGGTAATGAATTTAAACACATTCTGAAGTTTTGCAGAACTTCAGCCTCCAGGTTGTCCATTTCTCAGAAATTAACTTTATCCGTGCTCTCATATTGACTCCAGAAGCCTGTTGTTGAAGAGCTGCCCTAAAAATTTTGTATTCTGCATCTGTATTACTAAAGGTGCAAGCTTCTATACAAAAGCTGATATGACTGTCTATACAGTTAATCATTAGTCTTTTCCCTGGCACTGTTTTGGCCTGTGCTAATTTGTATACTTGCAGATAATTCTTACATACAGTTTAAGGAATATCGCAGGTCAAGTTCCGTTTCCAAAAAATTCTGAATAAGATTAACTTTTCTGAGAAGGAAGAGAGATGCAAACTGTATTTACTACTTATTATGATGGTCAGAGAATGAATCCTTCTGTTTTATTGAATCATACAGTTCTGTTGTTGGAGTCCTCAGGATCTTTCCACAGTTGGATACTAGTTCTGAATAGAACGTGCTTGCTTTTTCCTTACTTCCTCTGCTAATATACCTGGCCATCCAAGTTACCATCAGTACCTACTAATAGGCATTTGTGATTCTTCAGTTCCTGCCTATTTACTGCTCTTGGCATTCCAGTCTGTATGTGTAACATTACTTCTTTTCTTTTCCACGTGCATCTTGTTTCTAGGTTTGTGCCATTCAGGTGAAAAATACTGGCAAGATGTATGCATGCAAAAAACTAGATAAGAAAAGGTTGAAAAAGAAAAGTGGAGAGAAGATGGCACTACTGGAGAAAGAAATCCTGGAGAAGGTCAACAGCCCTTTCATAGTCACATTAGCTTATGCCTATGAGAGCAAAACTCATCTGTGTCTTGTCATGAGCCTCATGAATGGAGGTGATCTGAAATATCACATCTACAATGTAGGACAAAGGGGTTTAGAATTGAACAGGGTCATTTATTACTCAGCTCAGATCACCTGTGGGATTCTGCATCTTCATTCCATCAAGATCATTTACCGGGACATGAAACCGGAAAACGTCCTCCTGGATGACAACGGAAACTGCAGACTGTCTGATCTTGGATTGGCAGTGCAAGTCAAAGAGGGAAAATCCATCACTCAGAGGGTGAGTAGAAATTCATTGAACATGGGCAGTGGGAAAGCAAGCTGTTCTATTTCTAATGCGTTGAGTCCATGGCTTAATTCCCCAGGATTTGTTGCTTGCTAAAGACCTTACGTGGTCATTTCGTTCTAAGAGACAGGTGGTAAGAAGATTTGGTTAATTATGTCTCTGGACGCTATATGTAGTAAAGCAACTTCCTTGCACAAAAACAGAAGAATCAAGTTCATCTGTTGTTTCTCTTAAGATAAACACTTGAACCACTCACATTAAAGATGCTAACGCAGCCTAAGTAATAGTGTGTAGTCTGGGATTTAACCGATGACTTGTTTGCATAGTGAAAATCAGTTAAAGAGATGAGTCCCATTCTCAGTTTTTGTTCCTAAAAGATTCTGAGATCTCAGATTTCTTTTGAGTGGTGG